ATTGGATGACAGGAAAATGCAATTATATGAAGGAGATCCAATAAAACACTTACTAAAAACACAAAAGTCGATAGGAACTGATGACTTCTACTTTCACGTTGTTGCCGAAATAAAATGTGCTCGTGCTCTGCTGACTGAAGAAAACCTAACCCCACAGCCCAGCGAAAAACACACGCACTAGCGCCAACATAACAGCCCAATCTCTCATTTTCTGTTTCTTCAGTTTTCAAATGTTTCTCGAAATTATAAGGCATTAAAACAATTTAAAATATTAATTTATTTGAAATTATGTATTTGTAAAATGATTTCAACATTTAAATTCAGAAAAAATAATGTGTGTGTCGTTTCAGAAGGATGGTATGAGTGGTGCTCTTCTAGAACGTGCTGGAACGTGCTGTCTCACGCTAGGCTAGAAGGCGTCGGTAGGCATGTTGGTTCATGTTCACGAAAAAGAGCGCGAAGTTGTGTGCCGGGTCCGTCCGTTAGCCGTAGGGTAGGGTAAGGTTTCGTCGTTAAAAGTCACATAATTATAGTTTAGACAGGTTTCAAAATGGGAGATGAAGAAAAGAGTAGTCGAGAGTCGAATAAGTGGCTTGTAGTACGCTGTGACGAAGATTCCTCGTTCAGTCTGATAGAGAAGAAAGAGGCCGTGTTCGATGACGAACACCTCAGCACGGGAGACAAATTGAAATTCTTCTACAACAACAAAGAGTATGACGGCGAAGTGTGTGCCATGGGAGGTGAGCTATTTAATTCTTCCTAAGATGATTAGTTATGACCTGCGCTGTTGACCGCCGGATGCTATCGGCCGGGTTAACCTCTCTGTCTTGTCTTGTAGGTGATGATGACTACGACGGGCTTGTCGTAAAGCTCAATGAACTTAACGCATCGAACAGGATTAAAAGAGAGCTATCCTTCCACGCAGACAAGCCACGCAGGGGCCGTGGCAAGGGTCTTGAGGCAGTCTTGAGTACCTTGAAATCAAGACGCGTGAAGAAGTCTACACAGGATGAAGAGGTTAGTCATGCTCATGTATTCCCCCATTCCTGAATAATGTACTTGACAACCAGATCAGATGGTCCCGTTTTTATCTTTTCTTTTGCAAGTTAATACTTGATTACTCTCTTCTCAAACCAACATGATAATCTTAGTTTCGAAGTCGCTTTGGTACCTCATTGTTATTTCCCTCTTTTCAATACTTTAATATCACCTTACGTCGGTATGCTTCCAGACCAACAACAACTCCACAAATCGTGCTGATGTGACCAAACCAAAGTCGGGCTCTGACTCAAGTGGGAGTAGTTCACGCACAGGTTCAGCTACTTCATCGCGCTCATCATCGCCTTTACCTGAAGAAAGGTCCTCCAGCGATGTTAGGAATGCTTCTCAGGTATGACTCCTCTCTCTACATATTTTAGCATGCAATTTCAAAATTAAAGTAGCTTGCTTTGGTACACTGATAAACCAGGTGTTCAACTTAAAATTTGTTAGTGTGCAACCTTATAAACCCCTAAAAACTGCAAGTGTTCAACTCATTAGTTTACAGATGTTTAAATCTGTGTTCTGCACTTTCATATGTGATTAACTGGGAGTTGCACACTTGCAGATGTTGAGCTGTTGAACAAGTTTGGTTTATCAAGTGTACTTATTTTGAAGTGAGTAGTCCTATTTGTTAAGTCCAACCTTATTTTTAAAAGCAGCGTTCAGCTGTTGTTTTCAATTAATAAAATTGATGTACTACATGGGTGAATTTTAATATTTGAATAAGGTGCATGACATTCAGATTTTTATCTTGGCCAGATGGTCGTTATCTCTATGCTGGAGTGCTTTGTGCTCAACTGCTAACACATATGAAAAGATTCAACTCAACTTTATTTGGTTCATGTGTCCAAGCCAAGAAAACTTAAATCTGACAACTATAAAGGTGTTTTTGTTGTTCAATAGGAATTTTCATTTACATGATATCTTTATTTACAGGTCAAGCGTAAAGCTGTAGATAATGACCTCAAACTTCTTAAAAAATTGAGACATGCTAGTCCCGAGCAAGCTAGTGAACTAATGAGTACGTTTCAATGCCTGAGTTTGTTTTCCTTAGCAAAGAATGATTTTCTATTTATCTTATCTTTCTGCTTTTTGTTATAGAGAGACCTGTTACTGGCTGTGTTATACTTTCAAATAATGTCGATGGAGTTGACATGGATGATCTAAAAGGTTAGATTTAGTCAACTTAACTATGTACATGCGGTATTAATCTTTTTAAAATTATAATGCTTTTCTCACACATGTCTCATTACTCTTAATTGTTTTAGACACGGGCACAACTTCTGAGACTGGAATGAATGGAGTCTCCGAAGTTAAAAGTTCTGGTGATATTAGCATCGTGAATCAGGTTTTGGAAATGGATGATAAGATGGAGGATGTTAGAGAGGAGGCTGAAAAGGAGAAAATTAAAGATAAAGCAAAGAAGAAGGAAGAGAGTAAGAAAAAGAAGGAAGTTAAAGAAGAGAAGGAAGCTAAAGAAAAGAAAAGGAAGGAGGATAAAGAGAAGAAAGAGAAAGAGAAGAAAGAGAAAGAAAAGAAGAGGCAGGAGGATGAAGAGAAGAAAGAGAAAGAAAAGAAGAGGAAGGAGGATGAAGAGAAGAAAATGAAGGAAGAAAAGGAAAAGAAAAGGAAGGAGGATGAAGAGAAGAAAAAGAAAGAAGATAAAGAAAAGAAAAAAAAGGAAGAAAAAGAAAAGAAAAGGAAGGAAGAAAAAGAAAAGAAAAGGAAGGAGAATGAAGAGAGGAAAATGAAGGAAGAAAAAGAAAAGAAAAGGAAGGAGGATGAAGAGAAGAAAATGAAGGAAGAAAAAGAAAAGAAAAGGAAGGAGGATGAAGAGAAGAAAAAGAAAGAAGATAAACTCAAGAATAGGATGGATGCTGGTAAAGTGAAAGAGGGGGATAAGGTGGAGTGGAAGACTGTGAAAGAGAAGACGTATGTGGAGGAAGGCACAAAGAAAGGTAAGAAGAAGGAATTGGATGATGATAATGACAGTGATGAGGAAAGTGGAGATACCGGAAGTTCTAGTGAGGGAGAAAGTGCAAAAGAACAACCCAAAGCTAGTGAAAAAAAGAAAAGTGCACTTAGCTCCAGTGACGAAGATAGTGATAATGCAAAACCCAAAGCTAGTCGTAAGAAAAATAAGAAAAAAGAAGTCAAGGAACCTCCAAAGATAGATTTTCAAGTTTTGAGATGGTCAGCTGTTGATGAAAATGTAAGTGCTCACAAGCCCCCTTTCTACCCTTTTTAAACCAACTATTTTCAATTACTAATAACACTTCTTTCTTCTTCTAGGTTAAGGAGATTTGTGGCAAGTCTCAAGGTCTAGAGCATCACAAATTTTATGTTTCGTCTGAGGACTTAGATACTGCCAAAGCTGCTAAAAATGCTTCTGTTTTCTCCAAGTCACTACTGGCGGCTGCTTTCACAGATGAAGCGCTATACAAATGTAGCGTTTCAGGTGGCCAATATCGGGCTGGGGGAAGGGAGAACATCACTCAAAAACCTGCCCTCCCAGCCAATGTCATATCTGTCATAGTTGGTAAGTGCATGTTCAAAAGATATTAATTCTCAGTAATAACTATTGTACATTTTATATGAAATAAAATTACTTTCTGTTACAGATGTTGCCCTGCACCGCCAGAAGGCCAAGGGCTGGAGTCGTGGTCTGACTAAGACAGAAATTATTATTGGTAGTTTGCGTCAAAAATTTGTGGATGTCAGGCCCAAACTAAAGAACAAATCTGAGGCAGTGACCAAAGATTAATTGGTGTATTATGCTTTAAATTTTAGCCTGCTCAGTATCTGACTCAGTCCTCAGCTATTTTATTTTTAATGACAACTTTGTTCAAGTGTTACTTTTTTTTTTACTTTTGATATAAGGTTTTCTGTAACCTAGCCAATTTACCATTTTTATCTTTTAAGTGGGAGAGTGGGGCACCGACTGTCACTTTTTGGAAATTCAGTATGACAAGCTCAGTTTAGTGTGCGTCCTGCTTGCTAGGGTACGTATGCCTTAATTGAACCTTCATTTACAAGATGCCATCGAGACCATATCGAAAACCTAAGCGTTCCTACAGTAATAAGCCCGGAAAATGACCTCAGCATTTGACACTAGGTGCCCCTGCCTGGGGCAGCTCCTGTCACCAACAAATTTCTGGATTTAAAAGCACTTAAGTCCTGAAATAATCGTGCGCCTATGTCCTGGGTCTCGCTGAGACACAATATAGGATAGGCATAGTACGAAAGAGAAACTTGGGTAAAAGTTGGTTTTACTATGCCGAAAAAAATATGTCTGATTAATCAGATTTTCACGCTTAAAATACGTCACT